ATAAAATTAAATTTCTATTGTATTTTATTTCATTCCACTATATTCATTTTAAAAGATAGTATTAAGTTAAGTTAACCAAACAACTAAAACGGGAGGATCCTGCGTTAAGTGCTTAGCAGCTGCTTCCACGTTTGCCGGTAATCACACCACCAAGTTGTCCAACTTGAATATGGAGAACTTTTGCATTCTCAAAAAGCTTCACATATCTATTCATCCTCCCAAATTTAAGAAAATAGTGGAGGTTCTTTGGCAGCCCCCGAGTCAAGAAGTGCATAGCAGCTGCTTCCACGTTTGCTGGTAATCACACCACCAAGTTGTCCAACTCGAATATGGAGAACTTTTGCATTCTCAAAAAACTTCACATATCTATTCATCCTCCCAAATTTAAGAAAACAGTGGAGGTTCTTTGGCAGCCCCTGAGTCGAGATTGGATCAAGTGCAACAGGAACAGATTTGTTGTTGGAGTTCCGTCCTTATACTCTTGCGACGATATTTTTTGGAATGAGTATGCGGAGCATAAAGGTAGCTTTGATATTTTTTTTATTCCGGGAGCGGTGTGTTTGCTAAGCTCATGGCAGCCATTATTACCATTGAGTATGCCATTAAGCACAAGTGAAATAACCTTTGGATAGAGTCTAACTCTACTAGTGTTGTTAATGATTTTCCGAACTTTAGCATTGTCCCTTGGAAAATTAGAGCTAGATGGTTGGCCTGTGTTAATTCAACTCTTAATATCAATTTTTTGGTCACTCATATTTTTAGGGAAGCCAACGATTGTGCGGATTTGTTAGCCACCGTTGGTTTCAAGTCTAGAACTAGAAATTGGTTCAATTTTGTGCATACTGACAGTAACAATGATTTTTTGTTAGCCACTCAAAGGAGAATTTAGAATCAGATGTTGGCAGTGAAAGTGGATATTAGAGATTGTGCACTTGAAAACTCTTTACGAAAGTATTTATACCTTGAATCTGATGGGGCAGGTTGGATAATGAGTCTCATGCAATTGGGCATTTGGCCGACGTGGAGACGTGGGTCCCGAGTCTTTGACTAACACAGAACAATGGGTCCTGGATCTTTGGCCGGCACATAACATATTCATTGACTTGACGGTCTAGAAAATATTTTATACATATATCAAATTCAAAAAATTTCTATTAGATATTTACTAAGAAAACTTGAATGATGGATAAATCAATTTTTCTTAAAACTATTCCAATCAGAAATCAGAAATAAAATGATGATAAGAAGTAATTGTGATTATGAGTTTCTGGCACAATTGAAAGAGGAGACCTGTAAGGTTAACACTCAAACGTCCAAGTTAGTATGTGAAGAAGAAAAGTGAATTCAAATTGTGTTTGAAACTTATTACCTGAATTTGATGCCTTCTCTATAGATAGTAGAGAGAGAATAAAAAACTCGTTATTTATTAGGAGTGGATTGTGGATAATCGTTGGATGCACTTGCAACTAAGATCTTTGTGATCATCGGGATGTGAGCCCTCGTGTGCTAAGAAGATTGTCGAAGAATTATCGTTCCCTCAAAGTGGTCAAGCGAGGTCGATACGACCATTCCGTGCATGTGCTTGGCGGGCCATGGGTTTGTTACTTTATCTTTGGTTATCTGTGGCTTTGGGCCTCTTCCAGAGCTACAACCTTTTACATATCAGTTCTTTCTAGTCGCCCTCATAGGCCCAAAAGCTCATGCTACAGTTTTCGTTGTTAGGGAGAGAGTGGAGGGAAGATATGTTGAGTTATTTTCCAAGTACTAGACTAAATGTCACTTTCTTATAGGGAACAACATATATGTATGCATGGAGGCGTGAAGAAGATGTACATCATCTATCTTGGTTTGAATTTTGTGACGACAAAAACTTATCAAAGAAGATAAAGAATAAAAGTGGGATATTAAAGGATTATCAATGATGATAACCAAGTGAAGAACCAAGTAAATTATCATGATTATAGATACATTATAATTCACATTATATCATTTTGAATGATCAGAAATATGAATCAAATTTTATCTATAATTTTCCTAAACATATTGCATTAAAATGCATGAAATAATTCATTAAAAAAGTCAAATTTTAGCCAAATTACTGATGGTACTCGGATACCATATACTAGTATTCGAATATTGCTTAAACAAAAGTAAAATTGGCTTAATGTTATTCAAATACCATACATGATAGTTGAATATCAATGTTGATGGTATTTGAATACCATATATGGTATCCGAATACCAGTTAAAAAATTACAGATTTTTCTATTTAAAAAAGTGGTATTTGAATACCATATATGGTATCTGAATACCAATTTTCAAATTTTGAATTTTTATACATTTTTAGGTGGTATTCGAATACCATTTATGGTATCTAAATATCAGATGAACAAACTTCAAAGTTTTTCAAATTTTTAATGTGGTATTTGAATTTCATATATGGTATCCGAATACCAGGTGTTAAACTTTATTTTTTCAATGCATTTCTTGATATGGTACTCGAATACTATATATGGTATCTGAATACCAACTTGAAAAAATGTAAATTTCAAAATCAAATTATTCTCCAAACATTGCATTGTTCCATTAATTCGAAATTTTGAATGTTTGCAACGAATCATTATTTCAAAAGCCAAAGATCATTGTAATGCTTCATGAATAATTTCAAAAGTAAAGCAACTCTTTGTGACATTGTTTCATGTAATATTTAAGAGATACTTTTTCAAAATTCAGACTAACATCTTTAACTAAATTTTTTACATACAATTTAAATATGATTTTATGTGATTAATTCATCCAAAAACCTTAAAAAAATTTCTGCATAAATTTTCATATCTTTGCAAGAAGTTTCCGAGCATTAAAAGGTAGTGTAAGGATGAAATATATCTAAGAGGGATGGTGAATTAGATAAATTGGTTTTATTGAAATTTTCTCAATTGAAATTGTTAGCAATTATGTTCTCAATTTTCAGAACCGATGTTAAAGTAAATATGCTAAAAAATAAGTGCAAAAAGTAAAGAACACAAATAATATATCCTAGTTCCTCTTTTCAAACAAGAGTACTACAGTCCCCTCATATCCCGTGAAATATTTCACCATGTCAGATACGTTACAGTCAATCAACTTGACTCTCTAAACTGTCTAACACAATCACAAAGGTACACCATCTTTTGATTTTACAACAAATAAGAGAAAACACGTCACTTTCACTTATAAACAATGAACACTAACACTTAGTGAACAATTCATAATTTTGATTAACTAATGAAGATTTAAACCTGTATTAATTATGAGAAGTAGTCTTCCCATCCAAGTAAACAATTCACAAAATACACTACTTAAGTGCTCAGAACTTGATAATGAAACTTTAATGATGTTGTTAAAAATTTATGCAAAAAGCTTCATAAAATTTTGGCTCAAAACACTTAGAAGAAAATTGAGAAAGTTTTGTGTTTAAATTGTTAAGAAGAGGTGAGATTTGAAAATCTGAATCCATAGTTATTTATACTTGACTTATACCTTTTGGAAAGAGTATAATATAATGAATCATTGTCATGATTGATATATGAAGTTTGGAAATTGTTGGAATCATATTGAATATGAAAAAACTCAATTATTTTAGTGGTAATCGATTAACATGTTATTGTAACTGGTTATAACTGAAGTTGAAAAATAATTTTAAAAAATTTGCATGGTTGTAACCGGTTATAAAGTTTGGTTAACCAAATGCAGTTGCTATTTTTTTTCAAAAATGTTGAGCTTTTTGTTCTTGTAACCGGTTAACACATTTGTGTGACGGGTTACAGTTGTCTGAAATTCTAAAAACTAGCTTGCAACCACACGATGTCAAGTGAATTAATTTTAAAATATGTTTGAATGTTTAGAGATGAAGGATGCAAGATTGTCTTGAGTATTATGGTAATATACAAAACTTAATTGTAACTTATACCTTATTTTTTAGATAAATCTAATAAAGTCCAATGTTATCATGGAGATCGTTTGTGATCCAATTCTTGTCATCATAGATTCCTTTGAACTTAGAACTTTTTCCTTCTTTGATAATGCATTTGATCTTGATACTTTGTCTTCATTGAAATATAATATACCATTGGAAGCTTGTCTTCACAATCTCTTTTTTTTTTTTATGAAGAAAACCAAGACTTTTTGAAATACTCAAAGTTGGTAATTGAGCAACATATTGCCTCTTACTATGATATATCTCCCTTGATAGATCAATGTTGTAATTCAATGAATTTTGTTCATGCAAAGGTTAGTAAACTACAACATAATTTTCTCCCCCTTTGTCATTATAAGGGTTGAAAATGATTCGAGTCGAGTCGAACTCTCCTCAGTTCGGCTCGACTCCTTAAGAGTTGATATCGAGTTTGACACGAATTTTTTTTAAACTCAAACTTGACTCGTTATAAGTTCACGAACAACTCAGTTTACCTCGTTAGATTCATCTTGTTAGGTTCAGCTCGCTTGCTTCTCGGACTTAAAAACCATTTTTAAAGTATATTTTATTTATATATTTGACATTTTAAATTAATACTTTTTTTAAAAAGAAAATATTGAAATAATATAAAAATTATCATATTGGAATTTAACTATCTCAAAAATATACTATTCAAAAACTACACAACTCTCAAAATAAATCAATAACTCTCCCTCCAACGCTAAATGTTGACTCTGAAGCCAAAGTAGATATTGGAATGGCAAGAAAATTTGTTGCCATGTGAGATATTATCGCACCTCGAAAAAATATGACCTTTGCGATGGGACGCAGAAAAATGGTTCTAATAGAGTCGCCACCGAACTTTATTCATTCCAATCGAGGAATAGGAAAATATCAAAAAAAATTTTAAGAGATAAGAACATGGTTATCGCAACTAAGTTTTAGGCTGAGGGTTCGATTACGTAAAGGAAAGGTATAGCACCCCTCACGTCGTTGTACTCAACTGGAACCTCTTAGTTCAATTCGTGATGAATGTTAGCTAATGTTATTTGTTTTCTTCTAAGCAAATGATGCGAAAAGGTAAGGAAAAAAAGGTATCGCTTACTAAAGGGGAAAAATGTGGTTTTATATTAGGGCGCTCGTCAAGGATTTGGACCCTTGCTTCATCCTGGTCTCCTCCAAATGTTCTTGCCAGTCCAAAGTCTAATATTTTTGGATTCATTTCATGATCTAATAGTATATTGCTAGCCTTCAAGTCTCTATGAATATCTCTGAGCCTAGAGTCTTCATGAAGATATAGAAGTCCTTTTGCAATCCCATTAATAATATTTAATCGTTGTTTCCAATCTAGTTGTGCACCCTTCTTCACCATATCTGATGAGAAAATATAAAGCAGGTGCACCCTTCACCATATCTGATGAGAAAATATAAAGCAGGTTTTTAAAAGCAATCCCATTAATAAAAAGCAGGTTCATTGTTTGGGAGTCATACCAAATAGGTGGAAATCAAGGCTTGAATTAGGCAAGTATTCATAGATAAGAAGCTTTTCATTTTGCTCAATGCAGCAAGCCAATAGTCTCACAAGGTTTCGATGCTGCAATTTGGCAATCAATATTATTTCATTTTTTAATTCCTCCACACCTTGAACCGATGTTTTTGAAAGCCTTTTAACAGCAATTTCCCTTCCATCAGCTAAAACACCCTAAAACATTTTTCAAATTTTCCGTGTAAGAAACTTACAAGGGAAGAAATCTAATAAAACATATCAAGTATTATGTATGTTAATCTAGTTTATTACCTTGTAGACAGTTCCAAATCCACCTTTCCCTAATTTATATTCATCACTAAAATTATTAGTACTTTTCAGAATGGTACTCAAAGGCATCATTGATAGGTCAGTATTTCCAGTCTCCTCGATGTCAGACTGATCTTGAGAAAAGATTGGACTAAGATTTTGCCGGTAATTTCTTCTATCTGAAAAGATAGAATTATTAGAATAATTACAGGAATAAGGGAATTGTTAGGATGGGAAGTGTCACATGTAATCTATGGTGAATTGATGCTTGAAAACTGCTCAGAATGTCGGCACCTTTAAACTAAAGTTTGGGGTTCTCCATGTCTTTAGGAAAGAGAGAGTGACCGAATCGTTGCTAATTCACAAAATCAATACGTTTTCCTTGTTTTTTGTTGAACCCGCACCGATTGGATTACCCTCTCGATCCTAATAACGGATGGGACCATGAGGTTTTACTTGCGGAGACCAGCATTAGTCATTCTTAGAGTTTCAAATAACTTTCAAGCATTGGTCCACATTAGACCATGTGAGACATTTCTCCATCCTAAAAGCCACCTGCGATTGTAGATAGTTTTAAATTAAGAACTATTGAGATTTAGAGCTTACTTTTTCTATGCTTTAAGCAGCATAAATAGTATGTGCTCGAAGCGAGTAGAGCTGCTACTACTGTTCCGATTACTACAATGACTATTATGATCCATGACTTCGTTCCGTCCTTTTCTTTGGCTGCAATAACAAGACAGACCGATGTTAAATGAAGTACAAATATGAGGTGAATTCAAAGAAAAAGAAATAAAAATCATACCTTGTTGAGGCACATGAGCATTAGAAACTGTATCATTTAGAAAGAACGGCTGAGTTTCATACATCATAATACAACTTGGAGAAAAAACTCTCCACACTTTCTTCTCCTCGCAACAATTCTCAGCATCCTCGAGCATATTACTCAAACAAGTTCCGCATTCCTCACTAGTAATATCTCTACTACACTGCACACAACCATACCTTCTTTGAGTACCATTTATGTTAACATATGCGTACCAAACAATAAAAGTGTCTGTGACCCCATTTGTATCAAACCATTCATCAAAATCCTTGCATCACTATCAAATTCACCCGCACTAGTCAAGTTCTGTGTTGCATCAAACATAAGAATCCTCGGTCTTATAGTAAGGTTACCGAAGAAATTCTGATTCGAGTACCTCAGAAGACAAAAAGGGTACCACAAAGTTGACGATGCATTATTAGGACAGTGTTGTTTCAGCAATCTGCTAGAGTTTTGGACACACGAATGGCAAAGAGTTCTATTAACATCGCCACGACACAGGTATTGTCCGTAAACTATATGATTAGTTTATGAAACATTTAATATGGATGTAACATTCACTTTATTATGTTAAAATAATCATAAAATAGCTGCCATGCATTGCAAAATTTCTGACCATGAGACTCAGAATATTGAAGAATACTGTTAAACTTGGACTTTATCAAAATAATATTGCTAAACACAACTTTGCAAGTGGTGATTTATTTAATTATTATTACTTAAATTGGAAGAGTCTCATTCATGTGTCTGGGGTGGGCCAGGCAGAGAAATTTTGATATTGAAAAGTCAATAAGATAAGGAAGAGTCCAAATTAAACCCTAGGTGTTAAGATTAGAGTTCTAAGAGGGGGCTTCTTTTAAAGTTTTAGGTTCGAATTCAGCCATATGCAAACAATTTCTGAGTTGAATCACGTTTATACAGAGTTTTGCTCTGATTTTAAACGGGCTATTCGCAAGTAGATGGTGAGATTGATTATCTTAAATTAGTCGCAAGATCGAATACCAAGATTTAGATCAAAAAATAAGGAAAAGGAAGACTCCAAATTATTGAACATGTTGAAGTATTATAAAAAAAATTGTCAACTTTTAAGCCTTGATAAAAGAAGAGTAAAACTTCCATTAGCCATGTTAATAATTGAGTTTACTTTAACCAAATGTGACTTTATGTTCACATCAATACGTCATGAATACAGTATTTCATGTTTTTGGTCACCAAACTTACCAATTTCTACAATTTTTTTTTTTTTAAATTTTTGCCTTGAATGTGACTTAGATACTGCCTCATCCAAAGAAGACAATAATAAAAATACTATAGCTGTTATCAAAGGAATACTATATGATGACATTGATTTTGTAATTATTATGAACTGTTTGATTCTTCTAAAATTGAATTGTTTGTTTTTAGAATTGATTTTATTTTAAGATAAAATTTATAGTTTGAGATTAAACCTGATTTTTACATTAAAATTTATTGTTCACCTCATTTTTACAAATATTTATCAAAACATAAATCACTTCATCTTCCATTCACTTTTAATTAAAATCAATTTTGTAGAATCAATTAATTCAAAATCAATTTTTTTCATCAAAAAACTAATACACGTTTGGAGATAAACAAACACAAACATTTTTATAGCTTGACAATGATTATTGTTACAAACATGGTTAAGACAAAGTGGCTAGATATGACCTCTATATGTATTATATAAACTCTGAAAGATTATAAATGTATATGTATTAAGTTATTCAATCAGTTAAAAAATGAAGAGAAAGATAATTAAAAAAACAAGTTCATTGTTGGAAAGTCATGGAAATCACGACTTGAATTAGAAGCTATTTGGATTGATGCAATTTTTGAGGATTCTGGAGGGGAAGTGGGGTATTATTTCTATGGATTTTGTAGTGGGTTTGTCAATGACCGCGTAAGGGAGTGATTCAATTTGGGTTGTTGTGGATTCCGTAGGACTGACCGTCATACCTTCTTTAATCGGCTTTGGGTCGTTCGACTCGATTTTTCGAGTGGATTTCGTTTTTGATGTTTACTGGATGTTGTTTTGATGTTGTTGATAAGTTTTGATGAGTTTAGTCGTGAAATTATATAATTTAATTATTATGCCAAGTTATGATAAAAATGTGAGTTATATTGAGATGTTTGGTTCAGAGAGGAACCATTGTTATGGCCTTGTATTGATGATATTCATGTTGAGTTCTTAGGTTCAGAGATGAGCCAATGATGAGTATTGGAGTTGGTAGTTTGAGACGAGTATTGCATTTGTTTGTTGCATTAATGCATCATGTATATAGAAGATAGGTAACAAAATTTGGTCCAATGTCGAGTCTCAGGTTCAGATAGGAACCTGTGACGAGTCTGATGGTTCATAGATGGAACCGGATTCAAACAGATTTCTTAGTCATTTATCGCTTTTGAGTTTATTTTAATTTCTGCGTGTCGCTCTGATGGTTTAACACTGAGATGGAGTTACCTTTCTGTTTTGTGTTCTGTGAGTTATTAACTATTTCTTTTATGATTTAGATCTTTAATTATGAGAAAGTTAAAATTGAGTTGTTATTATTTTTTGTTGCTATAATATGATAATTGAGAGAGATGTTTATGCTGAGAAAATGTGACACCCTGTTTTTGGATAAATCATTTGCATGTTGTTATTAAATAAGTGTTTGGGGTTTAGGGTGTTACAAACGGGGCTCAAGAAGGCTTGCATTGCTGAATTTTTTAGAACGACCTTCTGAGTAACTATCCTTTCAGACAAAATTGGGAAAGAGGAAAGCCAATTTTGTTCAAGAGATGTTGACTATGGCTAAACCTTTTATGATCCTAGAATAAAAATTGACCACATGTTTCGATAACCTCACATCTAACGAGTCTCACTTCGACCGCCCATCTAGAAAAGCATCTCATAGGCGTGAGGATGATTCTGACTTAAACATGCAAGGGAAATATGGCAGATACACTCGTTGACGATCTCTTGTGAGAGGATTAATAAGAGTGTGTAAATACTGAATTTCAGAAGGAGGTAACCTGACCTCTTTATCCCGTTAGAGAGACATCCTAAACAGACATATCAAAATACTATTGATTCATAAAAGCCACAAACACAACACCGATGAATGCATCCAGCTGAAAGGTGTCATCAAAGAGCTGGTAAAGAGAGGTCGACTGACTTAATACGTGTAAGGAAGCAAGCGAGACAGAGAAGAATCTCCTAGAGGAAAATCCCCCATCAAATACCACCACAACAGGAACAAATGATGAGAACAAAGAGGCCAGCAAAGGCAAACATGCCTATATTGCTGCCATTACAGGAGGAGAATCTCCCCTCCAAATGGACGATGAAAAGGAAGATCACATAGATGATGGCTGTCTGTCGTAAAGAAGGAAACACATATATGAAAATTCCGACTGTCCTATGCTGAGATTCTAAGACTCAGAAAAAGTTAGAGGTATCTAGAATGAAGTTTCCCCCCTCGTGATCATCGGCGTAATTTAGGAGTTTGACGTGTCTCGAATCCTCATCGATGACTGCAGTTTTTGTGACATCATGTCCTCATAGCTATTTGAGAAGATGAACTTGGAACAGAGAAAATTGTTGGCATACGAAGGCTCGGACCGCCAAGCGTTCAACGGAACCATAACCCATCTTTGGGGATATGTGGAACTAATAGTTTCCATTTGCAGCGGGGAAGACATTTAGGCAAGAATTTCTCAGTTTCTTGTTGTTCCTTGCATAAGTGTATACAATTGTATCTTGGAAGAACCGTTTACGACCATGCTAGACGTTGTTTCCTCACTGGTCCATCTCAAATTGAAATACCAAAACTTATAAGGAGTACCGTCCACCATTAATGCTAACTTAGAGGGAGCAAAGGGAATATACCAAACTCTCCAAAAAGATCAAGGATAAGGCATATCCATGGAACTCAACGTCACTTCCCTAATCAGACTACTCAACAGGATGAGTATCAACCCTTCAAAAAGTGGCAAAAGTGGCCATAAGGAGCGAATAGATAAGCGGTGGTCACAATTCCTGATTATGTTTTCTGTTCCTCAATCATACTGAATGCTCTACTTAAGCCATTTACCATTTATATGCTTATATCACTAAACAATAACAAGATAAAGTGATGTTTTCTAAGACATTCTTTTCTTTGTAAATTGGAAGAGTCTCATTCATATCAGAAAACGTGTCTGGGGTGGGCCAGGCAGAGAAATTTTGATATTGAAAAGTCAATAAGATAAGGAAGATCCCAAATTAAATCATAGGGGTTGGTCTGGTGGTGAAGACTTGAGTTCTGAGAGGGTACTTCTTTCAAGGTCTTAAGTTCAAATTATGTCATATGCAAACAATTTTTGAGCTGAGTCACGTCTATACAGTGTTTTGCTCTGATTTTAAATGGGCTATCCGCAAGTGGATGGTGAGATTGATTATCTTAAACTAATCGTAAGATCGGATATCAAGATTTAATAAAAATAAGGAAAGGGAAGAGTCCAAATTATTGATCATGTTGAAGTATTATAAAAAAATTGTCAACTTTTAAGACTGCATAAAAGAAGAGTAAAATATTTGTGTCTCCATTAGTCATGTTAATAATTGAGTTTACTTTAATCAAATGACTTTTATGTTCATATCAATATGTCATTAATACTAAGTTTCAGGTTTTCGGTCACCAAACTTACCAATTTCTACAACTTTTTTATATTGTTTCTGCCTTGAATGTGACTAGATACTGCCTCATCCAAAGAAGACAAGAAATAATAAAAATACAATAGCTGTTAAAGAAATAATATATGATGACATTGATTTTGAAATGATTTTGAAGTGTTTGATTATTCTAAAATTGAATTGATTGTCTTTAGAATTGATTTTATTTGAAGATAGAATTTGTAGTTTGAGATTAAACCTGATTTTTACATTAAAATTTATTGTTCACCTTAATTTTTACATGAGTTTATTAAAATATAAATAATTTCATATTCAATTCACTTTTAATTAAAATCAATTTTATAGAATCAATTAACTCATAATCAATTTTTTTATCTAAAAACTAAATAAATGCTCGGAGATATAAACACACACAAACATTTTTATAGCTAGAAAAT